AAGAGTAGGAGGAGGAGACGGAAGAGGAAGAGTAGTAAGAGGAGAGGGAGGAGGAAGAGTAGGAGGAGGAGAGGGAGGAGGAAGAGTAGGAGGAGAGAGAGGAGGAGGAGGAGGAGAAGGAGGAGGAGAAACGATCATGGCAGTCAGAAAAAGGACGAAGAGCAGGAGGAGGAGGAGGTCATCATTCTAACTCATAAAAGAAGGAGAAGGAAGAGGAGGAGAAGGAAGAGGAGGAGGAGAAAACGATCATGGCAGTCAGAAAAGGACGACGCGCAGGAGGAGGAGGAGGAGGAGGAGGAGGAGGAGGAGGAGGACAAATGATGACAACACTGATGACAGGACTGGCTTGGCACTACAGTGATGACATGTGGCACTCCTTAAGCAGAATATTGATACTGACTGACATGATGCTTCCTCATTATCTTTCCATCATTCTGAAGGTTGAATTGGTTCTCATATGCAAGCGCAACGGATCGTCTTCACGTACTCTCATTTACCGATTCGACTGTTGCAGCCTGCCTGCCTGCCTGCCGGCCGGCCGTCCAGCCCACTGGATCGTCTTCACATAACTGTTTTTTCTCACTAACATTACTGCTGTGTTCAGCCAGCTTCCTCTCATAATAACCCAGACTGCTGACATCAGTTGATGGTTATTAATCTATTTTCTCATAACTTGTAAACTAAAAGGCTAGAAATGCTCAAAACTATGATTACAGATCCGTCTCTCCGTTTTGTAAAGCACTAATTGCAGAAGTAACTGAGCCCAAAAAAAAAAAGGAAAAAAAAAAAGAACAAACTGAGCAAAACAAAAGAGAAAGAGAGACAATCAGCTGTGTTTGCTTATCTAAGGGCATGCTGAGAGAAATGAGCCCTCACAGGGCCCTTATTAGACATGCACATGTCCTGGGCAGAGGCCCTCAGCAAGCCCTGTGTCCCCCCTAAGTGAAGGCGGGCCTGAATATTAGCAAGAGGCCAAAATTTGACATTTTTCCATTGCGGGTACTCGGGCAGTTGCAGCACGTCCGTTGGTTAAAAGGAAACGTGAGCCTCCTTGCTCCCTTCAGAAAACATGTGCTGCGCCGGGTAGTTGCGCCTGGGCACACACATTACCAGGCAGATACATCACGATGTGGCCACGGGCCTACGGGAAAACAGCATTGTCGACGTACCTACCCAGGGATCAGTGCAAATGCAGCAAACGGCCGAAGTCTGGAAATCCTGGGTGTGCCCAACTGTAAAGGGCCCAGGCCCTCAACTGTAGAGATGGGCCTGGGCGCAGGCACTGGGGCCCAACCGGAAGCTACTGGAAGCTTCTCAGCCAGGCACACACAAAGCCAAACAGAGGCTGCCACTTCCACATAAGAAGTAAAGCAGCCAGGGTCGGGCATTCTGGCCCACGCTGGCAATGCGGTCACGCTGCTGCGTTGCTGCGCAAGTGGCTGCATGGTGCGTTAGCGGCCAGGTGTGCATACGGGCGCTTGCAAGGTGAGAGGGGCGCTGCAGGGTAGCGTTGCGCGAGCAGCCATAGTCGGGCTGCAAGGCACAAGGGGGTAAGGGGCGATCAGTGGTTTTCAGGAAGGAGGCAAGTGTGGGTGGTCAGGGGGTGATGAGGGGAGACGAGATGTACCTGGTGCATGAGGGAGGTCGGCTCTGGTGTTGACGTCATGTACACTGATCTTCAAAGTCGAAGTGAGCCTGTTGCGTGAATGCGGTAGGTCAGACTAGGTAGAGTAGGAAGGGCGCTGCGCGCCATACAGTAGGAGCGACATTGGATACTGCGTTAGTGTGGCCTGAGGGCTTGAACATTGGCTCATGAGTTCACTGTAACGCTCTTACGTGGATGGAATCTTGGCGCATTTATGCTCTCTGCTTGGTACATGACTACTTGGACATCTGTGTGATTTTGCAAGTTGGCTTTCTGTATATCGTTCTCACTCATATTCCTTGCAATGCCCACACTAGCATCTTTTTACTAATTTTTGGATGGAATTGTGCCCAGATGCATACAGGTCCAGCAGGAAGTGTTGTGACCAAATACATTTATGGTAGTGCTAGTGTGAGTGCGCCCTAAGTTATTATCTTTTAAATCTTTAAATCCCTGCCAGTTTAATCTATAGGTCTCTTCACATTGTTACTATAATTATCATTGTTGTTGTTGTTGTTGTTGTTGTTGTTGTTGTTGCAACGAACCCAATCTGAAGAGAAGCTCGTCAACGTCGGAACACTGAATGTCTCAGCCACTGAATGTCTCAGCACAGTTTCAAAGTCTACAAAATCGTACATGTAGTCAGGTAGCCCAACATCTGGTCACCAGAGAAGAGGATGGTGGACGGGAGACCAGACTTAGAAGGTGGAACAGAAAGTACCCGTCAACATAGCAGATAGATCTCCCTCACAATCCCACTTCCCCTTCGGGCATCTCCCTCTTGCCACATCAGCAAACAGTCCCCTCTGACAACTCTGACAATGGGCTGATCCCATCATGGCGCTTGTCAGCGCAGACACCTTATGAAGACTGACAGCAGTGCGCAATGTTGACCACGAACGTGAACAGGTGACCTTCCTCCACATTGATCAATCTCACAGCCCTGATCCTTGTCCTCCTCGCCAGTACCCCATCAATGTCATAAACAGTGTGGCGAGAGTCACGCCTGCATAGTCAAGTACCCAGCTGGCACCAAAGACAGATAATGGCGCCAACATACAGCAATAGCAGTCCTGCGTCATCGCATCCGCGTCCAGCCAGCGTAGTGCCAGCATCGAGCTAGCGTCGAGCTAGCATCGTGCTAGCGTCCACCCAGCATCCACCCAGCGTCGAGCTAGCGTTCAGCCAGCATTAAGCTTGCGTCCAGCCAGTGTCAAGCCTGCGTCAAGCAACAGGTGCAAGACTGAATGTCGGTCAGCAGGGGCTGGGTCAACTTATAGTGTTGATTCCAGTTGACCAGCCTCTGGTCTCTCAGATACGATGGTCCAAATTGTCTCGCAGTCAATGGTCCGGATCCCGTACAGTTGCAGATTCCCACTTGGACTTGATTCCTTGCAAATACCTGCAAACAGCCAAAGGTGTGTGTCCGATCGGCGGCCTGGACTAGGTCCATGTTGACTTTGACTTGTGAGCCTGAATTTCCAACTGCTGTGGACCTTTGACTTCCCACAGTCAACTGTCGCACATTGGGCCTCTGAAGGCCAGTTTTAGGCCTTGCTTCGGGTACCCCACAGTAGCATGTCGTCAGGGAGACATCCTGAAACGAATGGCCAAACTGAGCAAATGAACAGGTTGTGCCAACAACTTTAACATATGTATGTTCGGCCTGACCAGATTGATTGGGATGAGAACTTACCAAAGATTGCAAGTGCTTACAACAATAGTGTTCACATTGTTACAGGCAGAACACCTAATGCACTTAACAAAGGTTGGAAGTCGAGACGTCCCATTGATGCTTTAACTAGAGAACAAGTCCAACGGCTACCCTCAGGAACAAGAGAATTTGCAATTTTGTATGAGCAAGACATAGCTAAGGTAAGGAAAACATTCAGAAAGCCCAAGCACATATGATCGAACAAGCAAACAAGCATCGTCAACCATCTCAGTTGAAAGAAGGAGATTTGGTTTGGGTAAAGTCCAAGGAATTCTCCCTCAAAGAGAATGTGTCTCAAAAATTGCTACTTGTCTACTATGGACCCTGTGAAGTTCTCAAGGTGATAGGGAACGCAGATGGCCCGTCATATCGCATTGACATGCCCCCTCGCCTCGAGACATACCCTGTCTTTCATGCTCCCAAACTGCTGCCATACGTCGAAGGCCACGAGGTTCCTAACTGGCCATCCATGTTTCCTCCCTCTATGAATGGACGTTACGAAGTTGAATGAATATTGGAACATGGATACTTTTCAACAGGTGGCAAGGGAAGACCGCAAAAGTGGTACAAGGTAAAGCTCAAGACTATCAAAATCAAGATGGTTCACTAAGAAAGAACTTCTACCTACTGCACCCGATATTGTCGCTGCATATGAGCGCGGGTTAAAAGAGAACCGAGCCTAAAGAAGTAGTTTCTACGATGGGACTCGAAATTGGGCCCAATAGAATGCAATAACTCAGCTCAAATCATGCATCAGTTGTGGGTTGTGGGTCGTCATTTCGATCAAAAGGCCGAAATAAGGGTCAAAGGCCACGCCCACGCCATGTAAACTGGCTGATATCTATTTCCCTCGACGACATTCGGTAGATTGGTCCTTTGGGAATCTTTCCTCGGGGACATTCGGTAGATTGGTCCTTTGGGAATCTTACTTCCGAGAATGATTTTAATGGTGTTCTTTATAGCACGCTCAATTACTCTTCATTGGTTCAGGCTGCAAGTCCTTATATTCAATAAGTAGTTTGTCAATAGAAGGTGGATAGGACAAAGAACATGCACCCACTTTTTTTACGAGTAGCATCATGACATCCTGTGCCAACTTCTTTTTCGTGACCATATTTCGAAAGGCAGGTAGACTCATACAACAGAAAGACAATGATGAGTCAGAACCAAACTTGTGAAACAACTTAATTGACTCCATTTTGGATTTTTCATCCTTCAATTTGACACTCTTGTCTTTGAACTTGACTTCTCAGTCGACCTCCTCGTGCCAGTCCATTCCCAGAATCATATAAAAAAGGCAAGTTTTTTTCTACGAGGAAGGTTACTTCATGCAATACCATTTTTCCTTTCTTAGTTCTGAAATAACATTTCACACAATTTACAAACTGAGAGAGAGTTATCGTGCTCTGGTCAACAAGCATAGACCTAAGGTTACTTCCTGCAATATCATTTTTCCTTCCTTAGTTTTGAAATAACATTTCACACAATTTGCAAACTGAGAGAGAGTTATCGTGCTCTGGTCAGCAAGCATAGACGTGATAGGTCTCAAAAGGTCTTGCACTCTCATACCCAAATGCAACTTACGAATTGCCTTTTAAGGTCTAACAAGGCACCTACACGTGTGTGCGCAATCTCTACGTCAGCAATCATCAGTTCACCCTTAAGACTTTGCTTTCTTAGCCCATGAACTTCGTAAAGCAACAAACCAAGTTCATCAAGGGAATCACTCATAAAAACAAAACACGGTACTTTTTCAAGGTGTTCTGGGTGATGGGCCGAAGAAGAGTCATCCTCTACCTTGAAGTTGGGGGGTTGACAGGGGTTATAGATGCCTTATCTTTATCAAAACCCACGAGCTCAGTAGGAGTAGATGCTCCTCCTACTAGTTGGTCCCTTTTGGGTTACAGATGAGGCAACATCATGCAATGATATGTCCCACAGTGCCGCATTTCAAACATTGTCGATTGTCCATCCACTCCTGTCATTCATTCTGGGTCAGGCCCATCTTATCCCAGGGCCAGCCAGAAGCAATGCCAGGATGCTCGAGAAAGGAGCGTGGCCTCTTCTTCTTGAATCCATCGTTACGGTTGGTGCCACCCTTCCTGGTCACCTTGGCGTTGACGTCACCGTTTTCAGACTCACCGCCACCACTTGCTTCGCCCTCTGCCTCTTTAAGAGGTCATTTCTCAAATGTCTCGTCGTCGAACACAACGAGAGTATGGTCTTGTCGCTTTTGTTTCCACAAGACTTTTTTCCCATCCCCATACCCACCTGTCGGTTCACTCCTCACAACGTTACCATAGGTTTCCTTTACCTATGTTGTCATCTATTCTTTATGGAGAGCAAGATCCCGGAATTGTCGATAGTTCTATTTACCATATTTTGCCTCTGCCACGAGCTGTCCGCGTATGGGCTCAGGCACTGAGCGTGAATAGATATACAGAACCTGGTTGTTTGAAGATTCAGCCCAGGTACCTGCAAGAGACGATCCACTTCACGTGACAAAGCATCGACAGTGGACCAACACTTCTAGCTAATAGTGGTAAGTTCGTCAAATGCCTTGTCAATAGTCGTTTTGTCGAGGAACCGCTCGTTGATTTTCTGGAGGAATTCCTGCAAGGTTATTGTTTTTGCCCAATCACCAATATCCTCAAAGCCAACGGCATTGGCCTTAATGCCCACTCCTTTGCGACTTCTCCCAGACAAGAGGTGGAGAAGGCAACTTCACTGTCCTCCGCCACCGGTGGTCCCGCAGTAGGTCTGAATCTTTGCAATCCACAAAAGCAAATGCTCTCTTCTATTTCCGTTGTAAGTAAAAGGCAACTTCATTTTCACCTTTTCTTTTATCTTCGGTTTTTCCTCTTCTTCCTCCTTCGGGGCTTCTTTCTTGGTGGGTTCGGGTTCTTTTGTGTCACGGTATTTCATGGCATCTTTCATTAACTTCTCCCGAGGCTCTTTCTTTTCGTCTTTCTCCTCGGCTATCTCTTCATGCACAACCTTGTTGTTCCCTTTTACAAGTCTGGTCACTGTCTGAAGTTATGTGGTGACACTATCAATCTTGATTTCTAGGTGTGTTAGGTAAGCTATCATATTTTGCAAGATAGATGCCACGTCAATTTCTGATTCCCCAACATTGAACTTTTATCCCTTCGATCTTCCTTGCCTGTTGCTCTTGTTCCTCTCGCTGCCTCTGGTATTCTTCTTTCTTTTTCAGTTTTGCCTCCAATGCACCTTGCAACTGCGTAATTGTGTCATCCATTATCTCTTTTGTTAGTTTCGGTTCTTCCTTCCTCTCAATTGATTCCCCTTTTCCTTCTTCTTTGGCCTCGGTACCGGCTATCTTCGCAAGTTGCTCCACAACAGAGTGATCGAGGGCTATGCGTCCAACCCACATGGCATCACGGAGGTCATATAGTAAACTCCACGAAAAAGGCATAGCTCCGTGTCTGTTGGTGAAAGGTGACCTGTTTTGTTTTCTTTTGCTTGCGCAGAGGGAAGGTGGGAGGGCACGGCACATCCCAGTTTCTCATGAACGACAATCCCACCCTGCACCATGGGCGTGGGCGCGGTGGTGAGTCAACTTGAAATAATAATTATTTAAAAGGCAGTGTTAACAAGCGACAACAACTGATTTTGTCTTTTTTTGGCAGAAATGACCAGAAGAGGAGAAAGAGTGCCAGTTACTACGCAAAAGACGACGACGAAGAAGAAGAAGAATGGCGACAACAAAAAAGAAGAAGAACAAGAAGAATGACGACGACAAAGAAGAAGAAGAAGAGGAAGAGGAAGAAGAAGAAGAAAAAGAAGAAGAAGAAGAACAAGAAAACGTGCCAGTTCCAGTACCTGTCAATCTCGATCAATTTCACTGACACTTGGTCGCCTTCTCGCACAATGTCAGCAGGATTGCGAACTGCATCCCATGACATCTCCGACACATGGATAAGCCCACTCATAGGCGACCCTCCTGCAAAAACCATTATCCCCCAATAAAAAAACAAAAGAGAAAAGAAAAAGAAACAACCACAGAATCACAGCCCGAAAATCAAGTTTCCTTTCAAAAAGGACGAAAAACAAAAAACAAAAACAAAAACAAAAAACAAAAACAAAAAACAAAAACAAAAACAAAAAACACAAAACAAATCACAGAATCACGTAGAAGGACAAAGGTCAGGGCCTTTTTGCGAAAAAGACTTCACAACACATCCCAAACTGACATCATTTGCCTTCAAGGCCTCAACCAATTGGCTTTCTTTTGAAGCTTTTTTCAATTTTTCTGACTTTTTGAACACGCTAAGGACGCAATACGACCGACTGGAACTTCCTGGACATATACTACCCTCCCCAACCCCCCTCCCCCTCCCCATGTCCCCATCGAAAACAACCCCACAAACAAACAAACCAAAAGCAACTAGCATGTGCATCTACAGGGTATAGCACAGAATTTACCCCACCCCCTTTGCCGTGATGCCTGACCCCATACAGAGTGCATGAGAGGTCCCCTCCAATTCTCGAGGGCACGCAATTGTCGACAAATTTGGCTATCCTTGTGACCATTGTCGCCCTTGACGTCGTTGATCTTCACAACCGGTGGTCGGAATTGAAAAGTCAGCGCACGTTAAAAAAAAAAGGGGGGGGGGGGATTCACCTCACGAGCACACCCAGATGCGTAAAACTGAGGACAGCGAAAAGATGGGAAAGAAAAGGGAAAAAGCAGATTTCAAACTCGTGGTTCGAACTCATTATTATAAAATGAGTTTTTCGTGAGAATTACGCTCAGCCACCACAAGGGCATGTGTGTACAACTGCGCACTTTTTTTCTTTTTTTTTCAACAACTGAGCATGCATTATTACTATTGGGTCAAAACATTTTGGGCTTTGGGTTTTGGTCTGTAGTACACCTGATTATCCCCTGAACACAACACCTGGTCTATGTGACCGCATCTGGCCAGGAATGTGTGTTATTTACGTCATCATGACTTCAGCGTTGTGCTCCGACAAGAGAAGGTAGGGTCCAATAGCGAATCTGACTTGTTCCATATCCGCAACCACCCAGTCATAAATGTGTCTCAACCAACCAGGCATGCCACGAGGCAGGCGGGCGTCTGCATGTACTTCGGTTGCTGTTGCTGACGTCAACAAGTTGCTTGTCATTTAGTGGCTAGTAGTGTAGCCGTAGGATAGTAGTCTGGGTGCTGAGCGGCAGTAGGAGGAAGAGCTACGATTGCATCGTTGGTGGTGGCGAGTATATGCTTTCATTGACAATTAAGTTTGTTGCTTTTGTTCTCCTTCGGTGTAACATCAGTGCAATTTCTGATTTCTGGAAGGCATTCGACTATCTGGCTTTCAATGCGATTTGCAATCTGGATTTCTCATCATTTCCGTCATTTCGCTTCAGCTCATTTTCCTTGCAAATCGATAGTTGTTGACGTCATCTTATAGCATTGACAAGCCACAAGACCTACGAGGAGAAAGATCTGATCGAAGGATTGCCGAATTAAACCTAAAGGAAAGAACAAAAAAAGACACAAAAAAAGAAGGGATCGGAAGGAGAACCAAGGGAGGAGGGCACACTCAACCCTACTCTGCTTCCCTCGACAGAATCTGCCATCATTTGCATCCACACTCCACATGCATGCAACGAACTCCTCGTGAGAGAGAGAGAGAGTATATGGCCCTAACCTAACCAGACACAAGAAAACAACCAACGAGTTGAAGAACATGAAGAGAAGAGAACAGTAAACCTCTAAAAAAAAAAAAAAAAAAAAAGAACTCACCATTAGGTGGCTTCACGTCCACAAAGGCACCGAAGTCGGTCACAGATGTGACAACCCCAGCGAGCTCGTCGCCGACACTCAGCTGATCAAATTGTGCAGCCCAGATGACGGCCTTCTCTGATACGATAAGCCTGGACGTCCGTTCAGAGGCCTCGATCACCTGCCTTCGGCTCATTAGGAGGAGGGAGGTATATCATTAGGAGGAAGGAGGTAGATCATTAGTAGGATGGAGGTATATCAATAGGAGGAGGGGGGTATATCATGAGGAGGAGGGAGGTATATCATTAGGAGGAGGGAGGTATATCATTAGGAGGAGGGGGTATAAGAAAAGTCACAGTAGCGGTAGCAGCAGCAGCAGCAGTGGAGAAAGCAGGGGGGGGGGGGGGGGAAGGGGGAGAGGGGGGAAGCAACAAAGACAAACAAAAACATGTCTCAACCGCCTGAGTTGCACATGCTTCAGGCCCAAAAAAGTTAAAAATAAAAATAAAAATATTTCTCTAATATAATAAATACCTCCATTGTTACCCAAAAAAAAAAAAAACCCTCCATTACCCCACCTTCATAACAAACCGAATAAAACCAAAATGAAAACCAAGCCAAAAACGAAAACCAAACCAACCGACAGGCCTAGCTCAGTTGGTACACCCACGGACTGTTGCAAATACTGACCCAAGTTCGAACCCAGATGCAATCCAATGAACAGTAACATAATTCTGAATAACCTTGACAGGGGGGACCTGAAAAAACGAGGAAGGGCAGATGATAATCTTGACGATGCACCTTCATAGCCATCTGGTTGTTGAAAGGACTCCGATGTAATATATAGCCAAACAGTAATATATATACATATATTGTCACAACAATATCAGAGCGCAAATGCGAAAAAAAGAAAAAAAAAAAGGAAGAAAAACAGAAAAAAAATGAATTCAGTTTTTTTTCTTCTTCCTTATAACTCCCCCTGTTCAGAACCTCTTGCGTACAAGGGCGCCCACGTGGATGTAGGCACCCCCGTGTGTCATATCGACCCACTTGCACACAGCCAAAAGGCAAAGAGGCAAAGAAAAGAGGAAGGGAACAGCCAAATAATACAGAACAGGGGGCAACAAAACAGATTCCAGATGACAAGTCCCACATGCAAGCACCACCCCTGCCCACAGGCCAAACGACGGGACAAGACCAACCAGGATGTCAAGCATTCTTGTCTGCAAAAAAAATAAAAAAAAAAACAGAGGACCGGTAAAAAAAACAATCCTGGATGACGATTCCCACATGCAAGCACCGCCCCGCTTTCCAAAAGGCCGAACAACGGGAAACAACCAACCAGGATGCCAAAACAATAAAAAAGCCCGGATGACTGGTCCCACATAAAGCACCGCTACCTGCTGACTGAATAGACCGAATAAAGGGACAAAACCAACCGGGATGCAGACAAGATTACCATAACAAATCTACCATATCCATAGTAAAAAAACGGAACCATACAGTAGGCCCACAAACGAAACACCCCAACAATGGGGAAGAATGAGCAACACAAAAAAACAAAAGGGGATGATAGGACGATGAGTCAAGCTATTTTCGACGTAAATGAATTCTTGCATGCACTGACAAGAGAATCAAAATATATATATATATATACGGTTTACCGGGCAGTTCTATTTGACGATATATATATATATATATATATCGTCAAATAGAACTCTATTTGACGATATATATATTGTCACATGATATCAGAGCGCCTAAGCAAAAAAAAAAAAAAAAAAAAAAATCTTAAATTCGTTTTTAATCTTCTTCCTTACAACTCCCCCTGTTCAGAACCTCTTGCGTACAATATATATATCGTCACAAACAGAACTGCCCGGTAAACCGTAGGCAGAGAGAGAGAAGAGGACAACAAACGAGGGGCTGTGACATATATCGTATATATATACATTATATACCGTCAAACAGAGTATATATATCATCAAACAGAGCTGCCCGGTAAACCGTAGGCAGAGAGGGAGAATAGGACAACAAACGAGGGGCTGTGACAAACTGTTTCGTCAGAGTTTCACGGACTCATCATATATGTATATATGTATAGGAGGTTCAGCCTCCTGATGAGTCGGTGAAACTCCGATGAGACAGTTTGTCACAGCCCCTCGTTTGTTGTCCTCTTCCCCCTCTCTGCCTACGGTTTACCAGGCAGCTCTGTTCGATGATATATAATGAGTCAGACCGTGGGTCTGATTATATCACAATGAAGACAACCACGACGATGTTCTGTGTGTGTGTGTGTATGTGTGTGTCTATGTATTGGAAAAGCATCACACCCATCCTGGGATATCATAAAACAGCATCACCAAAAATGATTCTAGTTCACCATGGTAAGTCATTAAACAACATCACCAGCACATATTATATTTCACCCTCGTATATCGGTAAACATCACCAAAAATAGATTCTATTTCAGCCTGATAAATCATAAAACAACAACACCAGAAATAAATTATATTTCACCCTGGTAAATCATAAAACATCGCCAGAAATATATCTACTTCACCCTGGTAAATAATAAAGAATAACCAATAACCAGACCACAAAACAAAAAGAAGATAACCAGGAAAATAAATCTATTTCACCCTCCGTCCACCATAAATATTAGACTGGCCCGGCACCACTTGCCCGGCCGGGCCAAAATAAAATTGAAAAAAAAAAAAAAAACATTTTTTTAATTTCATATTTGGCAAAGAATTCCGATCCGACCCTGAGGCAAAAGTTTTTCAGTTGTTTTTCTGCACAACATAGTTTTTTTTTAACAGGGACCTTGCCCGGCTGGGCCACCCAGGCAATCAAGGTGACCCGGGCGGCCTGGTTCGTAACACGGTATCGAAAAGATCATTTTTTTATTTTATTTTATTTTCAATCACTTTCACTGCACAGCTGGTGGAAAAGGTGACTGACAAAGAAAAAGCCTCAAAAAGGAGACGTCTTTCTTCATCATAATGCTAACAAAGAATCATTCATCCTATTCATCATGTGTTCATTAAAGAATTGTTTGTGAGCACCCAGCACAACTACTACGTCGGTGTGATTCGTGAGTGAGCAACCTATTTTCTTTTTATTAATTCCTGCGACAAGTATTTACTGAGTGAGAAAACAGAGAGCATATGACTCTTTCTCCTCTCCGTCGCTCACTTATAAATTGCACCCAAATTTTGATTCTATGTCCTCACACACACACAACTCGTCAATGTGATGCATTCATTCATGACTGGGATTTGCTCAAACAGACAGAAAACAAATCCTTCATTATGACTGGAGTTGCCCAAACAGACAAAAACAAAATGATCTTTCATTATGATTGAATGAATTTGGTCAAACAGACAAAACAAAATGATTTCTCTGTGACAAATGGTAATTAATCCGCTCATAACGCGAATCATCATTATCATCATGCTCGTCATAATCATCACCATCATCATGATCACCTTGATCAGACAATGATCGATCAAAAAATGATCACGATGATCATTATCATCACAATGATCAAGATAATAATCATCATCGACATGATCAAGACGATAATCTTCATCATGTGCATCATGTGCTCATTGAAGATTTGTTGTGTTCATTGAACATTTGTTTGCATCTTGATCAAAGACCGATTAATCAAGATGATAATCATCATCAAGATGACCAAGATGATAATCATGCTCATCAAGTTGATCATCTGGACTATCATTATGATGACCATGATGACCATGATGACCATCATCACGATCAGCATTAACAAGATCGGTCAATCAAGAAGAAGATTATCATCATCAAGATTATCAAAATCAAGAGGATAATCATGATCGAGATGGTCATCTTCATCACGATGATGATCATCATCATCATGATCAGGATGACAATCATAATGATTAGCTCGCAGGAAAACCACGATTGGCTCTCCATTAGTTGCTCACACACTAATAAACGCCAATCATACGTACACACAGAGAGCACGACTCTTTGTGGTAGTTGTGCACCCAGTCAAAGCAAAACTAGAAAATAATAATAATACTCGTAATAAAAATAATTAAAAAAATCATCATCATGCTCTTTATGTGAAGGTAGGTAGATGGGTGGGTGGGTGGATATCTGGAGGGGGATCAACTGGCAGCAAGCAGGCAGGAGAAGGGCATGGGAGAAAATGTGTGGGCATACGCACCCTTGCAGAGATCGTCTTGCCGGACAACTTCGCTCCGACCGCCGACATTTTCATAGTCTCTCCACCAGTTACACCCATATCTGCTCTTTTTTTTTTTTTTTTTGAAAAAAGAAAGAGGGGACAAGGTCACGCACAGCATAGAGCAAATAAGTACACACAACTAGTAGCCCCAATTAAGAACAAACAACAGGCTGAATAAATCAATAAGCTAGGCTACAAGAGTCGCCCGGGACCAATTGCCCAGCAAGGCCAAAAAAAATAAAAATTTAAAATTTAAAAACATATTTTTTAACTTTATCTTTTATTTTTTATTTGGTTGAGAATTTCGATGTGACCCTGAGGCAAAAGTTATTCAGTATAGTTTTTTGCATAACATAGTTTTTTTACTTTTTTTGCAGAATTTTTTTTTCGATTTTTTTTTTTTTTTTTTTTTTTTTGCTGTGACCCACTTTAGCCCTTGCACGGCCAGCAACAAAAAAAAGAAGGAAAAAACGTAGATGTTACAGACGTCGCAACGGTGGATAAATTTTTTTTTCCGTTTTTTCTTTTTTATTATTTTTCGCTTTTTTTTTCTTTTTTCTGTTCTTATATAGGGTTTAGGGAATAGTTTGACATCCCTAGAATGATCGAAACACTGAATGAAGATGTTTAAACCCTGCTTATGCAACACAGATTTGAACTTGAAACGCTCTCTCTCTCTCTCTCTCTCTCTCTCTCTCTCTCTCTCTCTCTCTCTCTCTCTCTCTCTCTCTCTCTCTCTCTCTC